TTCTCGACCGACGCATTGCAAAAAATTAAAATATCGTTCGAATAACACCGGATTTTATGTCTGGTGTCTAACACGTTTCACTAGTCACGTCGTTGTAAACATCACGAGTATTCACAAATAAATGCATTTTTTACGTTACACTGTATTTTTTTTTTTTTTTTTTTTTTTATAGAAATAAACGTAGTAGAGCCGGGCGTTATAAAATACACATAAATTTACGAGAGAATGAACATGATGGAAGAAAATGGAAAAGAAAAAGCGATGCTTGGCTTTGCAGAAAACAAAGTAGATGACGCGGAAATCGTTCGTCTATGTGCAATCCGTCAGCCGTCATCTTGCCCGAACGTAATCGCATGTGTATCGTATCCGGAATTAAGCACTTTGTCAATCTAGTATGTCGCAGCGATTGTGGCTCGGAGTCGCATTTATCTTGATCTGTACTGCTGCGCGCTTTAATATTGCGGTGATTTTATTCGTGGCTGATCCTTATCATTGCTCTCAGAGGAGATCGTCTCGTAACAAACCTTCATCGGATTCTTTATTCTGTTTTTCTTTCATTTCCTCTTTTCTCTTCATTTCCGGCCTGTTTATGTAACGCAACTTCTGCGCATTTTCTTGCGTGAAATTAAACGAAGCGAAAGAGAAGACATCCTCTTTTTCTTTGGACGAGACGGAATAGTTTCTACCTCACTGTCGGATCCGGTAACTTTGAGAAAGTTAACGCGACGTTTCTCTATTGCAAGTGATCATGCTGGTGAGCATGTCGACCGAAGTGCCGGATTATGAAGTTCGTCGGAATATTCAGGTACGACAGGATCGTGACGATGACTGACACCACGCTCGTTCTATGACCTATTTCTTGATAAGCGCTTGGTTTCATTCAGATGTGAAACAATTTTTGGCGTATGTAGAAAAGTGCGTAAATACGTACAACGTGATAGAAAAAAATAAACCGTGAAAATGCGATAGCAAGTGCGCATTTGTCAGTCGAACATTATTTAAACAAAGATCTTAAATCTTTTCGCGCAATATTGCAAAACTTTAGCAAATAATTTTAGGTGTTAATCTCGTGAGAAACTTATTAATAAAAAAAAATATTATATTTTGTATATATAGCATATATTTTTATTACTGTAAATAAATCAAAGTGTTAATAGACATATTAAATGGATCAGCGACTCCCAATTTTATGTTATGTATTTAGAGGTAACGTACTTAAACGTTTAGTATTCGTTCGATAAATTTTTGCGCAATTTGTCGTACATATATAAAGAACATTCATATTCGTGAACATCCAAAGCATCAAACAATTTTGAGCGCATTTTAGATTTTGTTACATAAATTCTGTGTAATTAAATAACGACGCTTACCTACATACATGTGATACTTAACTATTCTTAAAGAGATATCTAAATATGTATATATACATGTGTATATACGTACATATATATATATATATATACATATAAATATATATATATACACACACACATATGCATACGTATACACGTAATTACACGGTAACTTAATTTTAATATACGTTTCACGTATCCAATTATAAAGTCTACGAACACACGTGACGTAATAACGAACATGTTCTGTAAAATGCATTTCCTATGAAAAAGTGTTTCAATTTTAGTGTAGTTTATTTAAGGAAAATGATCGCTAATTAAAACTTTTTCAAAAATTTTGAAGTGACTTTGAAAAACAAATCGTGACACTATCTTTTGACAAAACTTTATAATACATACATTATCCATTTAAAATTGTCTTAAATTCTTAACAGTAAAAGTTTGTTAAGTAAATCTGTAAGATTAATTAATGAGAAAAGCACTTTGTATTATCTACCTGTATATTTGTAAAGTTTCCTTCGATAAATTTTCCATTAATTTTCATTTGTTTGCATAAGTATTGAGTAAATAATGATCCACAAAGTGCCTTGAAATTAAAAATAACAACAACAACAAGTATTTTCAAGTAAGTACAACGTAATTCGAAAATTAATGCTGTTGTTTTTAAAGAAATGCACTTTTAACACAAAGTAAAACTTATTATATTTTGGTTTAAAAAAAAAACATGTATTGCCACTTGTGTTTTATATTTCCTCTTTTATAGTTTCTCTGCTATAAAAATAAATAAGTATTATATAATTTACAAGGTAAAATTATTATCGTAACATGTTCAAAAGACAGCAGAATATTTTCTATTTAATACAATAGTTAATATTTTGTTGAAATGTTTTTTTTCTTGAAATCTTTACAGAACGAAATGCCATCTTGAATGAAATAGAAGAGAAATCTTAATGTTCAAGAAATAAAATGGAAAAAAAAACGTTGATCAAAGGCTACGATAATTGAAGAGTATATCAGAGACATGCGCAGCAATCAGTAACACTCTTCTTTTAGTTTACAAGATCCACAGAAGTCCATAGAGTAAAAAGAAAGTAATCCGAAACGAAGTAATCTGAAAATCCATTTTAAACATATTTTTATTAGCACTTTTTATTTTTGCCAATTTATATTATATTTGTATCACATATGAAAGAAACACCGTCACGTGCGCACGCAGTTTCTCTTTATATTTTATATATGTAAACACTTTTTTACATGTTAGATATTTTTGCTTAAGTTTTCATTAATTATTAATTGAATTCGACACACACATCAAATATAACAAATTATTTAAATTTTACTGTCGAAAATTGACAGACGTAGTTCTGCTATGTTATACCTTTTAATTGGTCGATTTTAATTATACCAAAAAGTTTGAAATTGGTTTTAGAATGATTAATAAATGCAAAAATACTAAGGTTTAAGTTAAAAAACGATACAAGTTTTTGTAGAAAAGTTAAAAATGGTGTAAACAGTAGTAGTAAACAAAGCTATCAATTTGTTTATCCAGTCAGACTCTTTGTAAAAGAAACTACGTTTTAGTAATAAACACGAAGAATTATAAAAATCGGTATATTTTTATGATCGCGATTATATAATAAAAACCGATTCAATTTATTAAGTTTGTATATTTGTTAAGTTCGTGAAATAAGAATTTTGTTTTTAATATTTTGGCAATGTTTTCAGCTCAAAGAGTATCATCGATGGCTTTTACCCGATGTTATCCGAAATATTTATAATAAATGAAATCGTGTTCGACGTAAAATTACGAGAAACACCGCTTATCGGAATGTGACAAATACGTTTTTGGTCTGATATTTTATCATAAACTTTTTGTTTTTGTTTTCTTTACACTATCTATTAATATCTAGAATTTAAGGTACCTCAATATATCGAGAAATTTTCTCGCGCTTCGCGCGCAATGTTCAATTATTTTTTTTTTTCGTAAGCGCGTCGGACACATATAAGGAAATACTCAAAAGAGAAGTGTGACTTATATAAATTCGGTATTATTGATGTTTCATATGTGATTTTCGCCGAGTTAAAAAAAAAACAATAAAATTAATAAGCGCATTAAGCGAAATATATGAAAGATGAAATTATGATGTGAAAAACTCGAGAAAACCGCGTCGCTTTTCTTTCGAGAGTAAAACTGCTCAGGAAAATTGTTAGGCCTCGCAGCACTGAGTCGGGAAGATTCATCGTTCTTCGAAAATTATTTGCGGTCCTCTCTTGAGTTTCGTAACTTCTAGAAATGCCGTTATATTTTTGGCACGAAACGTTAATAGAAGGATCTAATAAACTATCAGTAGGTGGCTAATATTTGACCTAGTCACATTTGTCTATCTTTGTATTAATTACAATAGATTTTTTCACGTTTATATAATGCCAAACAATGTTTTCTAATACGCATTCTGCCTGTCATCTATATCACACACACACACGTTCAATTCCGCTCCAAAACGCAAATGAGTAATTACGACACTTCACTTTTCGTACATATTCACAAATCCGAGCTGACTCTTTCGGCAACTTTGGTGCTTTCACAAAAACTCGAAATAAGAAAGTTCACTGAACGTTCACGTTCAGTTCAAACGACAACACGTAGTTTATGCTCTGGATAAAGAATTAGAAATCTCCGTCTCTAGATAGCAAACAAAGCGGCCTTCTAGACGATCGTTGCATTTAGAATTGAGCGTAATGGGAATTTTTTAAGGGATTTTCGTCGCTATACTCTAATTCGAAATTCGAGCGTTATTACATTATAATACACGATTAACATCGATTAACAGTCAGGTACAACAACTGTCGCTGTTTTGGGACAAGCATTATTTTACGAGAAAATCTTTACGATCCAATATCTCCGTATCATGACATTTTCGCGATGTGCGCGCGCAGTCGGATCATAAAAATTTTCTTTGATCAACATCAATGACAATCTGACTGATCGCTTCTTGATTATCAGTTTAGTCAGAAATCAATAATTTAATCAAATAGCACCAATACTTCAATCTGTACTGCGAGTATAATTTATTTTACATAATTACGACGATTGTTTTTGTGCAGTAACTCGTTCAGCGAAACATTCGCCCGGATTGTTTTGCTTCGTAAAGTCATCCGTGCATCAGACTATTGTTAACTTGATAATGAATTTCCTGTATTTCTGCTCTCAATTCTCAGCCTTGTCAATCACAACAGTGGAATGAGAAGTTTATACGAATATCGTTGCGCGTAATCACAAAATCCTGCAAACTAGTAAATCTTCGGATTAACTTCGGCTTATAATACGCTTATTCTAAAAAAAAAACACACACACAAAGACGCTTATTCCAGAATCCCTGCAAGAGCTTAAATCTGCGTCAATAGAGTCGACTGTTTCTTTTAAAGATGAGATCCTTGAGCTCTCTGTTCTCTTATATTGGATCGTGACGTCATGGTCATCGTAGGAGATCGCGAAAGTGCTGACGAGCAGTCCTCTCTTCGCGTTCTCGTGAAACAAGAGATTTATTCGGAATATCGTTGCTACAATTACAGAATCTCAGCGAGCTGCGGACGCGAGTCTGCAGATTAGCCCCTCTTACGTTTATTTAAAAAAAAGCTCGTATCCTCCAGGATCCTGGCGAGAGCTTAAACCTGCGTCAATAGGGTCAACTGCGCGCCGTTCTTGACGGGGTCCTTGGGCTCGCTGCTAATTGTGATGTTGGATCGCGAGGTCATGGTTACCGTGGTCGTGGAGGTCTTGCTGATGAGCAATCCTCTTTCCGCCTCCTCGTCTTCGAGCTCCAATTTCGATTGCGCGGATGTGATCCGATTGGAATGAAGCCGGTCGATGTTGGTGCCTTTGTTCTTTCGAGGAAACACGCTATTTTCGATGTGCAACGTCGCGTTCACGTCCTTGCCGGCCGCGCAGGTGCACGCCTTCAGGAAGCTCTTCTTGAAGTTGTCGCTGAGAAAAGCGTACAGAATCGGATTCATCGCGCTGTTGCTGTAGCTGAGAAAACCGGCCAGAAGAAAGCTGGTGATGCTGATGCTGGACTGACATTGTTTCGGCGGAGTGTAGATCAACGCCACTTGGGTAACCCAATAGGGCAACCAGCAAAACACGTAGACGGTAATCACCGTTAGAACCAGCTTGGTGACTTTTCGGTGCGAGCGTTTCTTCTCCTTCGACTTGTTCTTCGGACCTACAGTTCGCAGTTTCCTGATTACCAGAAAGTAGAAGATCAGTATAAGCACCAGAGGAACAGCAAAGCCCAAAATAAGCGTATAAAGCGTGAACGTGGTCTGACCGCCGTGATCGTTCGGCCAGTAAATGTTACAGCTGACGATACCTTCCGGAGATTCTATGGCGTTCGCGTAAAGGAACACGGGAACCATAAAGAGAACACTGGTGGTCCAGGCGGTAAGCGAGACTATTTTCGAAATAAACGACGTGCGTATCTTCGGGGAGGATATCGGATGACACACGGCTATGTAGCGATCGGCGCTCATAATGAACAGGAAGATGCTACTGGTGAACTGATTGATGCTCGTGGTGGTCATGTACACTTTGCACATAATTTCACCGAAGATCCAACTGCGCAAGCTGATGGTCGTCACCAAAAACGGTATTCCCACTAGAAAGCACTCGTCCGCGATCGCCAAATTTACGATGTACATGTTCGTCACCGTCTTCATCTTCGAGAAACGGAGAACGACGTAGATGACCAGAGTGTTGCCGAGAAGTCCGACCACGCAAACGATGGAGTACAGGATCTGATTGACCAGAGCGATAATCGGCAGATCGGCGTCGCAGTTCGTGCCGTTGTACGTCAAGTTGTTGTGAGTGATGTTCTGAGCGTAATCCAAGAGATCCATTGTCGTCATATTTGTCATTATTTTCCGGAATCAAAATCAATCGCACACAAAAGAGATCAAGTCGATTCTTTAATTCTCTCGATTGCAGGAATCTTTGTTCAATCGACAAAATCTAGTTTATGACAGTGAAGATCTAAAGACGCTGTCGTGGGGATTAAAGAAATCTTCTTACTACCTTGACAGACGACAATGTTTCAGAGAACGAGATCGAAGTGACTAAAGTTTGTTTCATCGATGGGAATAACGTACGTGACATCGATGTCATTCTGCCACTTGACGAGTGTAATCTGGAGATTAGTCAGTTTAGCTTGTCAATTTTTACAACATCTTCTCTTCTTGTTCTCTTTTCGAACTTTTTATTGATCGCGAATGTAGAATCTGAAACACACGAGAAGGAAAATGGTTAAAAACATGTTTACACGCACGGGGGAACAAAAAGTCACTTTTATTCTAAATTTAAAAGATTTATTGTAGGATTCTATTTTGTTGAAAACATCGAAAAACTTGTTGAGCAAGGCTTGTCCGAAGAGACAGAAAGATTTGTGTGTGTGTGTGTAATCTCGAAACAAATTAAATATAAAGTAGTTTAGACTCTGTGGTTAAACATAAAACAACAACGTTTAAAGAACTTCAAAACTTGTATTTTTCTCGTTGTTCTTTTACGTTTAAAAAACTTACTAAAACTGATTGAGAGAAAGAGTTGCGTTTTTAATTAAGCGGAAATTCGCTTTAAAATAAAAATTACAAAAAAAAAACAGAATTATTATTGCATTTTTGCATTCTCATGATTTAACATAATTCTGCATTTAGAAGCCAATGAATGGCGACGCACTCAAGGTATCATTTCGTCACTCTATGCGAGGTGCAATGAAATTACTGTGCAACCAATGCGGCATCATGCTGCTGGTGGCGACGTGATAATTTTCAAGCTACCGGTTCTTGTGGAAATAATCTTGGCTCGTGGTACCAGTCACACATTGCGACAATGGCTTGGGGAAATGTTGTCGATGAGACGGAGAAAGCGAAGCTTTGTGACAAACTGTGTTTGACCCGTTGAAAGCTCTTACTGTAACTTGAAAACTACAGTCGAAACGCGTAACGTTTCGGGTAAACCACACTATACACAAGTGTTGTACGCTGTGTGTGTGTATGTATTTGTAAGCTGGACGTACAACTTCAGAGTGAAAACTTTGAAATTTCATCAAAACGTAGATTATCCTAAAGCGTTCAAACGCAAACAGCAACACGAAGCAGTGATGAAATGCTCGCGTAATTAAACCCATTTAATGTCACTTTATGTTATTATATTAATTATAGTAATTACTATATATTATATACTATACGTAAAAGTAATTTATACTTCTTAAATATATTGGTTGCGCGCGCGCGCGAATAATACGTTTACATTGATTACTTAAAGCAAGAAAATATCAAATTGCTCCAAGTGGCTTTGTTCAAAGTAAAATAAAAGTTCACTGTTTACTCACAAACTCGCAAAGTTACGTAAACAGAACATTTTGCCTTCAAAGTGGAACAAGAAAAATCCAGTATGGGCGTAAAAGTAATCAAAAGTAGAGCGCGATTTATTCAACGCGGATATGAATCCGAAATATTCTTTTAGACGATAGCTCTGTGCTGCATATTATGAATCGACAAACTCGTAAATATTTTCGTTATATATTTCGATCGATCATACGACTCGGCGATTCTATTATTTTCTCTGCGAGATATATTGCGCGTAACACATTTCATATTCTTAATTGATTTATTGCTAGGTAACCAAAAATAGAATAATAAAAAATGCGTGCGCATGCGTGTGTTTTATATGTATATATATATATATATACGTATTTATATTTTAACATATTTTATAAATATCCCGCGATAAGATTTGAATTTTACGGCGACATAAAATTTCCGCGCGAGATGTTTTTCCCAAAGACATCGCGGCGCGGTCTCGTTTCCGTGAAATATCACTTTTTAAACAAAGTTCAACGCGAAAAGGAATCGAGTTTTACGTGATCGAATCGGTGATTTACATATTTGCGAGGGTGTGTACGTACACGCGAAACGCATTTGCTTTTCAGATATTGCAATCGCGAAGTTTGTCCTCTCGCAATTCTCGCTACCAATCAACAAGTCGTGTGTCGAGCAATAACGGAAATGAGATTCCAAGTGAGAACAGAAACACGAGTTAATGTAGTCAATACGAGGAAACAATGAATATTTCATGCATATGGTCACCCCCCGATTCACATTGGCTGAAGAGTGGCAAATCTCCCGGCGAAATTTCATTTATTGACTCGTGCCAAAGTGACGATGGAGCTCTAACAAGAGGTCTGTGAATAAATTTTTTTATTTAAATCTCGAATTTCAATTAAAGTTTCCTTAATTGCCACGTTTATCTCGTTTTCATTTGTCGTAAAAACCATCTTATCTCTTGCTCTTGTATAATTGAGAGAACGCTTATCTCTTTCTATATAATTTGAGAGACCGAAACAGTTTGTCCTTTGGTTTTTTTATCTCGATATTACGCGTCATTCTTATAGATTACGTTGTACAAAATTAAACTTAAAGATACGTATAATTAATTAGATAATATTATTTTTAAAACTATCACTCTTTTGTATAACGAGATACATCGTCACAATGCACATGCTTTTTCGCTACATCAACCGGAGAAGTCTGACTAATTGCCGACTATAATCACTTCAAGCTTACATTCTCGCAAAAGCGACACGTTATTTTTTTCCTCCCGTTTATTGCTACTTTTAATCGGATATTTACCGCGTAAAAGAGCGCACTGTGAGACACGTGTGTGAATAGATAAAAGCTGCAAATTGAGTAGCTGCTGTCTCTCGCTTTCGTACGCGTGTATAAAACGTCATCCATGTGCAAGAAAAAAAACGATATTGCACATTTAATATTATTATTAGACGTTTCAGACGCCCCCGTTGTAGAAAAAAAGTTGCGAGCTAATATTACTTTTATTTTTAATGCTTTTTAATTAATTTCGTGTGCAATTCCGTTACTTTTTTTTTTAATATTAAGTAGTGCATAGAGATACATTTCTTAACGGCGCGAAAACGTTGATAGTTTAAACGTCATGAATCGTATTTGTTCGATTGCATTTGTTCAGTCTGGCAGATATATATCTCAACAGTTTCTCGGAAAAAAACGTTATTGGAAAAACAAAAGAATTGTAAGAGAAAATAGCGCGTAGACCGACGAACATTAGGAAGTAAGAGAGAGAAAGAGCACGGAGAGAGAGATCACAACAAGAAAAATTAATTACCTTCTTACTCGGGCGCGGCGGATACTAAAAGGAAAAAGCTCAATCAAACGAATGTGCAGATGTGTCTCGTCGGTTTATTTATTTGTTGTTTTAGCTACAGGATCCTTAAGGCGATCGAGCAGACAGACTAGAGTTGAACACAATAAATTTTCGCAATTAATCATTATAAATGTGAGAAATGAGAAATGAGTCAAATGAGACGGAGATCTTACTTTGGGGGTAAAAATAACGATAAAATTTCGAAAATCTAGTAAGAGAAAGAGAGATAAGAGAAACAATTTAATTAAAAAAAACAAACAAACAAACAAACAGACTATAAGTTTTTGTGTGTGTTTTACAATCACTTAAATGATATAATAAAGTGACTACAAAATTCGAATGTAAAGAATATCTACATATGTGCATCTTGCAATGACAACAAATGTTTTTACATAAAAATTTACACACATTGTGCGTATGTACATACGCAATGTACATACATGTATTAATTTATTACAAATGCGTGACGATACATTATTCACTCTCTATCAAGAGTGGTATTAAACCTCTAAATACTGAAGCGCATAAATAAGCATGTATTAATAAGTAATTAACATAAAATTTAATACATAATTACTTGTCGTGTTGCGCGTTGAAATCATAAATACGAAATTTCTCTTTGATATACGAAATGTACCTAGTATCGGTAAATTAATCATATCGGGAGCGCTTGAATTCTTCCTCTCTCTCTCTCTCTCTTTCTGTCATATCAGCTAATATCATTTTCACATTTGCACTTTAAACGAGAATTCCGAATATTTATTACGTAATACGCGCAATTTGCGGGGGACCACATTTGCATGCGCGTGGAATAGCTAAGCGCCCGACAAAACTCGATGAAATTGGCTCAGGAAAAGAAGTTGCCAACTGACTTTACTTTAAAATAGGTTTTAAAAGAACTAGCACAACACAGACGCGCGCTACGCGCACGCTATTATTGTTTTTATTTTAACGTGTAGTGTCAGTGAACACAACCTGTCACCACGATGACAGCTATAGTAAATACGTCTTACAAACCATATAATACACATTAGAAAGATGTTAGAAATAACGCATAAAAATCAAAATAAAAAAATAGTAAGAGGTAGGAGTAGAAAAACAACACGTGACTAAAGTCGCGTGACTTTACATTAGTCACGTGTCTTTAAAAACGTGACTAAAATAGACGTGACAATGAAAAGAGGAAAAACAGCACGTGACTAAGTCACATGACTTTACTTTAGTTTTTAAAAAACACGTGACTAAAGTATGATAACATTGTTAAACGCAATTTGTTTGAAACACTTTGCACAACGAATCGACAGCACATAAACAATCTTACATTCATCGGGAAAAATTCCAGATAATAATGAAGTAAAACAAAATTAATGACTTTGTCTTATGTTATAATTGAGGAAACGCACTGAGAAAACTAAATAATAAATTTTTTATAATTCTTGTTTCATCGTTACAAAGTTTCAATTAATTATGACGTCAGAAGCGAGAAATTAAATTAAAAAATTGTATCTCATTATAGATGCTTATGTACGTCAAAACAACACTTAGTTGTTTTACATGTCATTACAGCACGTTTACAGACTCTACAATATTGATCAGTAACAAGCATTAAACTCTCTTTTTTAATCGCGTTGAAGTTTTAAACCTATCTTTTACCGCCAACTTAACTTTTTTCTTTCACTTGAATTTATTTCTTCAACAATGAGGAAGGCACAATATTTTCTACATGTACAAAATTTATAGATATTTACGCTTTGTACATAAAAACTTATTGTAATTTATATTATATTCCAAGATATTAGAACTTCCTTAACTATTGAAGTTTATACATGTAAATAAGAATTTTTGTTTTAATTATATATTTCAGCGTGGTGTGTTGCTTTGTGAAATAGTGAGAGAAATACACGCCTTTATCCTGTCACGGTTTATGCTGCACAGAAGGTATCGTAGGATGGAACCACGCATACACATGTCAAAGCTCTCGGAACTCTTGTAACATACAAAGTAACCACAATAAACTGTATCATATTCCAACGTTTAATACTCT